TTGCGCCTCTTAAAAGTAAAACCTCCTGTCAATTCCTGTTGAGGCCAACCATGATGATGGTTGCTAAGACGAGCAATTCCAGTCCCAGTCTCCAGGTATTTTGGTGGCCTTCCATGAAGCTAGGGAATATTTTGCTACTTTTTGGTGCACTGAGGAGCCCAAAACTAGATGTAGCATTCCAGATGTGGTCTCACAAGTGGCAGACCGAGGGGAAGAAGCACGTCCCTCAAGCTTTGGGCTATGCATTTACCAGCACAGCCTTGTATACAGTCAGTGCAAAGGCTTGCTGCTGGTTCCTCTTTGTTCATCTTGTTGTCCACCAGGGCTCTCAGGTCCTCATCCTCACAGTCCCCTCTAGCTGGTGTGCAACATCCTGTACTGTTGGGTGGTGCTGGTCCATCCCCGGTACAGCAGTCTGTGTTTGCCTTTGTTGGACTTTGTGAGGTTCCTGTTAGCTCATTTACTCATCCTGTCTGGGTCCCTCTTAGGAGCAGCCCTCCACTGTATCAACTTTGAACCACTGACTGTGACTCCAGCAGGTTTTCCACCCACCTTGTAATTTCTCTGTGCAATTAATATCGGACTGGTTTGGCTACAAAGATACCTTGAGTTGCTGTGTTGAAAGTCTTGCTGCAGTCAAGTACAGGAAAAGTGTACTGATCTTCCTGTGTCCACCAAGACAGACATATCCTCACAGAAGGCAGTTAGGTTAATTCAACACAGTTTGTCCTTTTTGGATCCATTCTGGCTGTTCCCAGCCTTTCTTGTCCATCAAGTGCTTGGAAGAGGATTCCAGAAGGATTTGCACTATGGTCATCGTGGGCAGTGAGGTTAGGCTCCGCTTCCAGCCTGTAGTTTTCTGGATCCTCCTTGTTGCCCTTCTAGAACATGGACATGGTATTTGCCCTTTGCCAGTCATCAGGAGCCTCCCCAGTTTGCTGATGGCGTTTCAAAGGTGATGGAGAACAGCCTGGGAATGTTGACTGGCTTCTTCAGCATGCTCAGATGTGTCCTGTGTCATCTCAGGGCCTGATGTATGTCAAGTTTGCTTTATTGGTCCTTAAATCTGACTTCCTCTCATGTGATACTTCATTGCTTGACATTCTGTGATTAGCTTTGGGCAGCTGTGAGGCCTGGGTGCAGAGCTTGATAGTGAAGTCTGAGACAGAAAAAGGTATTGAGGTATCATTTGCCTCATTCTTGCTTTTCTTGCCAGTGTATTTATAAAGGCTCTTGTTTCCCTTCATAACCCTGGCTAGTTTTAACTCCAGCTGAGCTTGGCTTTCCCAATTTCATCCTTGCATACTTGGGAGATTCCCGCTGGGCAGCCCATCCCCGCTTCCATGTTCCAAGCCTTTACCTTTTGTGTTTGAGTTGAGGCAGAGGTTGCCCATTCAGCCAAACTGGCTCTCTGCCATGCCTGCTCGATTTCTATCTTAACTAGAACAGACCGTTCCTGTGCTCTGAACATATAATTTCTGAAGATCAACCCACTCTTTTACCCTCCACAGCAGCATCCCACGAAGTCTGCTGTGAGTTCCCTGAACAAGCTGTAGTCTGTTCTCCTGAAGTCCAGGGTCTGCTATTTCCTTCCTCAGTTCTCTCACAGATTTTGTCATCCCTGGCCAGTTCGTTCTTGTTTGTGAATGTGGATCTGAGTGTCTTCTGGATTGGGTCCTTGCTCACTTGGGTCGAAAGAAATGTTCTTGTTGGTCAGGCACCTCCTAGGTTCCTTGGAGGTTTCTCTTCATGAATATGTAGGAATGGTTGAATCATTTACCACATATTTGTTATCATTAACTCCCTGCTGACAGTGTCATCTTTAATGTCATACTGAATTAACTGTACCTCTAATCTTTTCTTTCCTGTGTTCAGATCTGGGATTCCCTTTAATGCCTTTCTTGGGATCAAATTCCACAGTCTTTGACCCTCAGCAGGGATCTTGCAATATCCACCTCTACTCCTCTCTGAATATAAGCGTCCACAGCTTTTCATGCCATTCCATGCTCTTCCCTGGCGCAGTTGTTGCTCCAGTCAACCTGTTTTGCTGTTTAGTTCTTCCTCTAAGCACATGTCAGGGCAGTGTCAAAACTTGTCACGCTTAAGAAAGATTACCTCCAGTATTATGGATTCCAGTCATTGCTCCCATTACCTTTTGTCCTTGTAATAAGAATAGATTTTTAAAATGCATTTAGCCAGGAATGCGTTCACTGACATGCTCTGTTTGCAAAATTAACGTCTAGGACCTTGCATGTTTTTAGGATTTGTCAGAGGTCAGAATTTCACTGGTTTCCCTTACCAATTCCCACAACTGCCAACAAGAAAATACTGAAAGACAGAACTTATCTGCAGAATATTGCACCAAGGGATACTTGAACAGAGCGTCGTAGATCTAATGTTAAAAAATGTAGACCTGCACATGCAGTGAACACTAAAACGCACTTTGAAATGGCCAGCAGTTACATGAACATAGGTAAACAGAATTAATATTTTATATGGGATGAATGAGTGATCTGGATTCATGTCCTTGCATGATCTGGAGTTGTACACAGAGGGTACTGAGTTGTCTTCCTCAATGTTGGACTGCTGTTGAGCCCCCCAGGTTGCACCTGCAGTGCTGTGGTGCGTACCGGGTACTTCCCTGTCTTGTGTTACCTGTGCAGTGTCAGTGGATCCTGGCAGCGCAGCGGGTGGCAACAAATCATTGTCTGAAAATTCAAGATGGGCCTCTCTGGTCCTCTTCATTACCAGAGTCGTCCTGTAAGCTTGTGCATGATTATTAGAGGTGTGAAATGAGAGTCAGCAAAATCCAAAAGACATTTCAGTTGTTACAGCTAAACGTAGATGGTTAATGGTTTCCAAACAGTAATGAAAGGGGCTATTAATAGTGATTGCAGATTTCAAGAATTACCCAGAAGGCTCTAAAGATTTAAATAAAAATAGCTTATTTTACCTTCAAATGAGAAAATGTTAGAGAAGATTACTGTATTCTGTTAATGCATGCATGATCACAACTCGTGTTTGATTTGTTTTAGATGAGAAGATTGTGGAAAAAATCCGAGCTTTACAAATGAAAGCTGAAGACTATGATGTTGTCAAGGTGATTGGAAGAGGGGCTTTTGGAGAAGTGCAGCTGGTAAGAATGTAATGATTTAGTGATTAGACAGATTTATGGATCTAGCCAAAACCTTCTCCAGTCTTGCATGCTTTATATCTAAAAATCCATTATGAAGAATAACTGTTATTTTCATTGTATTGTGAGGCCCTTTCTGTGCATAATGAAGAGTACATCTGGATTTAAAACATGATGGATTGGTAGGGAAGGACTTAGGAAACACTTTGCTGTCCTTTGATCAAAACAGAAAAGGCAGTTCATGGCAATTGTAAATTTTGTTGGCCATAAGCATCGCTGTATAATAATATCCAAAGCCTTCATATGAAAGAACAAGCTAATAGTGTAACAAACAAATATGGTTTTGCTCTTATAATTGTGAAACTTACGTTGTATTTAACTGTTATGATTCACGTAAGAATTTTTAAGCCTTTTTCTTAACATTGTCCACTCAAAATTGTATCCTATGTAATACCTCATGTAAGAATGAAGTTACTTTTTAAATTTATATTGCAGAGAAATTCTATTTATTTCTTTTTAAAAAGCAATCAGACTACAAAAAGTAACTTAGTATATCATACATAGTCTGCTTTTCATTTAATTTTGATTTTTCCTGGAGTACCATGTTGTACTGTGTGATAAATGGCACAAAAATGTGAGCAAATGTATAAGATGGCTTGGTATGTCAGTTCTGAAATATGCTGTGGATGTAAGCACCACATCCAGTCTGAGAATGTGAACACCAGGGACAAGTTACCACGCGCTGACAGATAACGGCACATCAGCTGATCCAGGGTAATTTTCTGCGTAAGCATTTTTAGAAGGGGAGAGAGAGATGTGAAGCAACTCAGTGGAAAGGGGAGCACCTAATTTGCAGTGATTGAAGTTTGTTATCTTGTTAGCACAAGGTAAAAAAAAAAATTACCTTTTTGCTTGTGCCTTTAGACATGGAACTGACATTTCACTGTTCTGTGCTAATTTTGCACTAGGAAGCTGGGAAAATCATGTTCTCTTCAATGTACAGCAATTTTGGAAAATACAAAGATGTTGTGGAATTTTGTTGAGGAATGTGGCAAGACCTTAGCTCTGAAATGCTTACAGGAGGTACACAACATGTAATGGCAATACAATTATTATCCATTTATAAAATTATATATGTTTTCTGTGTTAGTATTGGTGAAATTGGTTGGAAGTGGGGAGAAAAACCCTGTGACTAGCACTATTTGTGTGGCTCATGGGTAATTCGCAAATGTAGATGTAATTCACGTGGCAGTTAACGACATTTAATCAGCAATTTTTATTCATTTATTTCATTTTTTAGGGCGACTTCATCCAAGTGAAACATGAGAATGTATCTCCCTCTTCCCTGTTTCTTTCTGGGTCATTTGCACTTTGTTTTTATCCAGAAGTATTCATGAAGTATAGAGAGAAGTATTTCCAAAGATCCCAATTTCGAACAAGACTTTGAAAATTTAGTATATAACTTTATATGCTTTTATATCCTTGCTGGCAAGAGATGAAAAACAAAACCAAAACCTTCAGCAGAACCTTACTTTTTTGAGAAGGGGCTGCTGCAGGGAGTTTCGTAAGAAATCTGTCTACTCTGTTTTTTCACTGGCAGTAACGGCAAATGGTTTGTTTTAAAGTCTTCCAGCAGACATTTTTACCATTTCATACATCCACTTACAGTAGCTAACAGTGATGCTTCTTTGTCATGCATTTGCATGGGAAATCAGTGACGAATCAAGTCGGAAGGAGCAGAGTTCCCTGTTTATTTCTTGGGAGGGAAAGATGAAAAAGAGATCCCAATAACAGAAATCGTGTGCCTCTTTTAGTATGTGACACTGATTTATTTACTGGAAGCATCCAAAAGAACTGTATTTTTAAAGTGCTTCAAAAATAAAAATACATTGTTTTCATATCTATATTTCTAAGAACCTAAGGGTTTTTCTAAATAGTTTTCATATTCTTTTCAGTATTTCATTTAAAAGATAAGTTCTTAATTTGTTCTGGCTTAGAATGGAAACTTTTTCTTACTTCACTGTGTCATGCACAATCTAAATTCTAAAGTACAGTGTATGCACTGCAGTTACGTAGTTTGAGGGATCTGAAGACAAACTCATCATTATAATGTAGTGGTAAAATGCATAGTAACTTGGTCATATAGTGATGATTTGGGGAGTTTTGTTGTTGTTTGTTTGTTTTTATTAAATAAGCCTTTCAAGCCCCCAAATAAGAAAAGCTAAGAATGCATGGTACTGGAAGGGAACCTCTCTGTGTTCATGTAGAGCTCTTCTGCACTTCATGCCAGTTTAGAAAACCAATTATTTTTCTGGAATGTAAAAATATAAGCAGAAATCATAATGTTATGCAGCTTTACAGCTGAAAAGCAGTGGGTTAATAAATACAATTGTAGATCTGAACTAATATTAGCTGGTGATGAGGGCTTATATACCTAGACTTTTTGTCTCACAAGGTATGATACACATTTAAACTATTGAGCTAAGCTATATCTATTTCTGCTCCATTCAAAATGTGAACATCACAGTTGCAGATGATGGATTTGCAGTAATCAAAATATTTTGCAACACATTCTGTGATCAAAATAGAAATCTGCTTCACTGGAGGCTAAATGCAGAAAGAACCATAAATAAAATGTGATGAAGCGCATTGGTTAAATTCATGAATGTCATGTTGTCAGTGTGTGCCATTGTGCATGAACAAATATTTGTTAAATATTTGTAATAGTTCAATATAATGAGCCAAAAAATGAGTATGTTGATGTACAGCATAACATAGTCAGCTATGACCTCTTTCATTTAATTTTGTTTCCCCCAAGCTTTCTGCTCCTGTGTAGCCTTTTCTTATGAAAGCAGTGGTGTGGAGAGATCAGCTTTCCAGATTCTAGCAAGAAAGGAAAACCCATTCTCTACTGTGGTGTTGTACGGCTAGATTTTTTAAAAAAGCCTTATTTTTCCCCTCTTCTTCCCCACAAAAACTAAAAGTCCCATAAAGAGAGATCAGATGACTCTGATCTGAGCATCTGACTTTGGTGGAAAAACAGTTTCTCTATAACTACAGAAATACTAAGGTCTGCTCTTGGGCTCTGGCCTCTGGCTTTGCTGGATCTGCAGCGATGGGAAAAGCCAAGAAAATAATTGCCAGCTGCCAGATTGCTGCTTGTCTTGTGCAGGGCTGTGAATAGAAGTGGCTGGTGTCTAGAGCAGACAGAAAAATTGAATTATGGCGCTTAATAAGTTACTTGCATTTTATGCAGAAACAGTAATTTATGAAAGCACATCCTGAGCACCTCTTGTTTTCACTTGATGAGAAATCCTCTTGAAATGAAAACACATCCTCAGTTCCTTCTCCCAGGTCTAATCAAAGCACTGTAACGTTGCAGTGACGCAGCAGACTGACTTGATCATGCACTAGAATAGAAAGATAAAGCAAGGCTAACTCCTCCTTGTATTAGGGTAGTAAAAGGTGGTCTGTGGGACAGTCTTTGCTATGTGATTTCTTGCTGTTGCAAACTAGCGGTTGTCATGGCCTATGTGAACAGGTGCTGGCTTAGTTTTTTCCATTAAGTGCTTTGTTTATTAGGTTTAGTTCCCCAGCCACTGCTATGCACGCTTCTGTAGTAATGCAAATAATGCAGTCATGGTCTATTACCTGAAAATTTATCGGGACGTGAACTTTAGTACCCTATCTGTATCAATTTCTTATGGCTGTATTAAGCATTTAAGGATATCTGTGATGTTTTAAAACCTTAGAGTTCATTTCACAGTTCCACTCTAGGATCTTAATTTACTTTTATCATACAGGAGGTGGTATCATTATCAATACTATGTATTCAATCCAGTAACTTTAAATGGATATGTTTTTTTCTTTGCCTACAGAGTGTCTTCTGACATGAATGCTGTAGAAATTACGGATGCATTTTGTGTACTTGTTTCTTGAAAGTCTTAAATTGATGAAGCAGAGTTAGGGAAATTCTTAAACGAGGCCGTGTTACTCAGCGCTGATGGCACGAAGGGATTTTCCTACCTATTTTGAGAGTTACTCTGGTGAGCTGCACTTTAAATTTGGCAGTTCGTTTCAACAGTTGGAAGAAATTGAAACATCACGACAGTTTAATACATGAATAATCTGCTGTATGAGCCAATATACGTATGTACAAATATAGCTCTGGGTAAAGAGCACAGTGGGTAGCAGCTAAATGCTCTGTCTCCAGGGGCCACAGTGGTGACATGAGGAGTGGTGTCACCAATGGCTCTGTTCACCTGTAAGGAATGCCAAGGCACACTCAGCCTTTCAGTGTGCCAGTGTGCTAGTTGTTGCCTTGACTTCTTGATTTTTGTACAGAGAATGAACCTGTCTTGAAATTTTCTCAAGAAATAATTTAGCCAACGAATAACCCATTGGCACTGCCTTAGAGAGGTGTGTGGGCTGTGGTTTCTGGTCCCCATGCCCCTGGTTACTTTGCTTCTCCGATGCATGAGAGCAGTGGGAGACAATTTTTCTTGTAAAAGAGGCAGCTATACTAACTGCATCCAGGCAAGACTACACAGCGATTTTAGGAATTGTTAACTACTGAATACAAGGCAGGGCTTTATGTGAACTTCACCAAAAGATACATTTTCAATTAAACAATATCTTTCTGAGGTTGTTGGTCTTTGTGTTTCTTCTGGTTTTGAGCAGGATTGCAGAAGCTCTACTCTACAGAATATAGTTTCTGGTGTACCACCAAGTCTTTGTGAATAATCCCATGTGGGATTAGTAGTAAAGGGGAAGGAGTTGGTTTTCCAAATCCTTTTTTAGGACACTTTCACTAGCTGGTTAATTGTTAATGTCTTAAAATGTACGTGCTTATAGAGATGTCGATGCATGTAGATGGGTTTCTGTTTTGGTGTTTGGCTGGTGATTTTTTAATCTAGCTGTACAGAAGGTTGTTGGTTAGTGTTAAACTATGCAAGATACTATCCTAAAACTTTTGTACCTGTATCTTGAGAACAAAAAGCCCCAATTTCAAGAACAGTAAGCTCATAAATAACTCTGTTTCTTTTCATGTTCTCACTCTTAACCCTTTTTCCCCATTTCCCCCCCATTTCCTATTTCCACCCCTCCCTTTTTCCTGTTTCTTGAGGTCATTCCTGTTGGCTTCAGCAACATTTGTGTTTACAGCTCCTCAGGAGCAGGAGAGCGATGCTCCCAGATTTGTAGACCAAATAGGTGCCTCTCTGAAGCTTTGCACTGCAGACACAATGGACCTGAAACATTTGCAGCTGTTCTGGAAAAGAGCCTATTAAATGTTATTTCAAGTAGTGTAATTAAATTTGGACATTGTGTAAAAATAAGAGGTTGGGAGATATGGTTTATTTTACTAAATATGAGACTTTTAAATGCACCAGAAAATCGTAACTGTTTAGTTCTGATCTCACAAATCAGTCCACTGAACTTTTTATTTTAATGTGAAGAAAATACGCAGAAAATGAAGATGCAGTTAATTCCTTTTTTCTGCTGACTCACACATCTTACAGCTGAATACTGAAGAATGACAAAAAAGTAGTCCTTTGGTAATTGTTTCATAAAGTAGAATAATTAATGTTTTTTCATTACAGAGTAATGACTTTACAGTCTGTACTTTTAAAGGATTTCGTTTCATGACCATATTCAGATGAAGTCTTCCAAAATATTTTCACATTTTTTCATAAAACTTTTAATTTCAGTTTTCCAACCAGATTTCTTATTAATTTTACACCATTTAAAGTGAATTTAAGAACTACTTAAGAAAAGAAATAGGAACAATCTTTTTTTGTGAAAAATAAGCTGAAGTGGACTGCTTGCAGAATTTCTAACATGAATGAGTACAACAGATAGATGGTGATCAGAGTGAGAAATTATAAGCAGAGTTGCATTTCTCCATACATGGTGGAACTTTTGAAGGGGGAATAGACAAGCATTTCCTTTTTCTTCTGCAAATAGAATTATTTAATCTCTTTTAGTGTTAGTAAGTATGTTCACTGAGAAAATGTTAAGAGCGGTAGCCCACTTCTTTAGAGAAAGATGTACTCTTCTCATTCTGAGTTTTGGATTGGGTTTTTTGGTTTTGTTTTGTTTGGGAGTTTTTTAGCATTTTTAATTTGAGTGAGCAGATTACTGCAGTCAGCTCTCATGTTTATGCTCATAGCCATAGTGAGGAACCACATAGGGTTGTATCAGTGCGTCCTCAATAAAGCAGCTGCCTCCGCAGAGCTCCCGCAGCCCGGAGGCACGTCCCTGTGGCCCTGCAGCTCCTCTCTGGCAGATCTTCCTTCATTTGGCATCCTTCTTGTTGCATCCCTGCTGTGGTTTCTTTTGAGCGGTTGTTAGGTTTTTCTTTCCAAGTTTGGAAGTTCTCAAATCCTTACTCTTTAGAAAATTTGGTATATGAAGATCTCAAGGCATTGCATCTCAGAAAGCAGTTTGTACATAGGAGAAATATACTATGCTGGTATTCAGTCTTTTCTACAAAGCATTTTTAAAAAGTTGTTTCTCTTCTTTCTCAACCAACAGGTTCGCCATAAAATGACACAGAAGGTTTATGCAATGAAGCTACTTAGTAAATTTGAAATGATCAAGAGATCAGATTCAGCCTTTTTCTGGGAAGAAAGAGATATCATGGCCTTCGCCAACAGTCCGTGGGTGGTTCAGGTAAGGGAGATATGTAAGAGTAAAATAATAACAATAAAGCCATAAATCTTTCCCACTCTTGAGCTGGTTTTGAATTTACATCTAAGCTCAAATAATGGTTTATGGTCAGATTTAATTTTTAAAGATACGTATTTACAGCAGTTTTGCTGAGTTTGGTTCATCTGGCTGTGTTAGTAGGAGTTATGCCTTTGGGAAGAATTAGTCCTGAATATTGCGATTTGTTGTAACTGCTAAATGACACTAATTAATAAAATGAGTAGTGGATAGCATATGCTTAAAGAAATTGTTACTACTTCATTTTGTTAAATAATTAATACATTTAAATGCTCTCACATATATTGCCATGCTTCTGTATATTTAATAAGTAAAGACTGGCCTTAGGCTTTCCATGTGTTCTTCATAACACTTTACCTCATGTATGTAAGAAGTGTTTTACAAGATTTTGTTATTTAGACGTTTTGCTCTTCTGAGCATGTCCTGTTTTCTTGCATGTATTCAGCAGAAATACTTAACTAAATAGATAAATTTTTATTTGTTTTTGTTCTAATGACAGCCGTTGTCTGGAATTATTTTTATATTTTGCATGCAGTTGAAAGTAATGGAAATGTTCAGCACTCAGTTTTCGAAGAGAAGTGTAGCAAGCATGGTATGAATGTGCATGTATTTGTAAATAGCAAAGGATTTTAAGTGTAGCTGCAGTTGTGCCTTTTATGATGAAGTGTATTAGTGTGATAAATTTAGGTAATGTGGTCCAGTGGGATAGGACACTGAGCTGGTTTTAAGAAAATATAGGTCCTGTTCTGAGCTAGAAACTGGGACAGATCACACTGCTTCTCTGTGCCTTCTCTCTTATGGGAAAAGCAAGTGAAACCAGAGCCCTAGATAATTTTGATTTTTATTTTTTTTAATGAAATCCCTTAAGGGCAATAATGAAAGTGCCGTATAAAGGCATAGTGTTGTTATTCATTACTGTGTTCTATTAATATCTTTACATGTGAGAATACAGACTGTTTTGGATTTTAATTTAGATTTTAATGACCAAATGCATTATCTTGGTATATACTGCATCAATTTGTAAAAACAAATTCAGTGCAATATATATTTATTTAAATATGTATTTATAATATAGGTCTTCTGTCACTGATGTACAGTAAATTTTAATCTAAAGGTCAAATCTCCTTAATAATGTTCCAGCCTTCCATGATTCCTCATCCTCCATAAAAACCCTTTTTAAAATTTTGTCCTATTTATAGAACCATAGACTCACAGAATGGTTTGGGTTGGAAGGGACCTTAAAGCTCATCCAGTCCAACCCCCCTGCCATGGGCTGGGCGACCTCCAACCAGACCAGGTTGCCCAAAGCCCTGTCCAACCTGGCCTTGAACACCTCCAGGGAGGGGGCATCCACAACTTCCCTGGGTAACCTGTGCCAGTGTCTCACCACCCTCACTGTAAAGAATTTCTTCCTAATATGCAGTTTACTAGATACTTCCTCTTTTTCAATTTCCTTTAGAATTTTGTGTGGATAACTTGGAGATGTGAATGATTTTAGTTTTCAGTGTATAGGAGCAGCATTCCTTGAGAAATTAGGTGAGAAAACTCCAGAGACATTTTCACACCAGTCACTGGAGATTTGATAGTAACGCGTTTGCTGGTTTGGGCCGTTTTCAGATCTGGTGATTGCTAGGTGAAATCTCTAAAACTTCAGTACTCTAGGTCTGAGATACATTTTAAAGAGACTAAACTTACTTTCACTGTCATGCCAGTAGGAAAGATAATAGCCACAACCTGTACCAGACTGTTATTTTATTGTTAAGGATAATTTCTTCGTATTGTGTTATAGTTGTCTTCAGGAACATTTTTTTTTTCTTATTTCAATGTATGTGTTGATTTAGGACAAAATCAGTAGTGACAAGTGTTTTTGTAAATATGTACAGAGATAAGGAGATGTATAATATATAACATTTAGAAACAATATAAGATGCTATTCACTGTTGAGCTATTTATAAATCAATACATGATGCTCCCTTTCTCAGATTTGATATTTTGTATTTTGACTCAGTGATACTTTTTAATGCCAAGAAACGTGGATACATAGAAGCTCATACTGCTAAAGTAACCAGGGAATCTTTTTCGCTTTCTTAAATGTGAAAATGAGGGAGTTTTGAAGTTCAGTAAATTTCAAGGTATCATCATAATTAATAGAAAATGTAGATTATCTGAATATAAAAAACTGTTATTTTGCATGAGTCTTGAAAATATATGCTCAGATCTAATGAAACATCAAAATAAAGTGCTTTATTCTTTTTCCTAGCTGTCTCTGAAAGGTAATTGCACTTTTTTCTTTTCCTTTTGTTAATGCTGCAGCTATTTTGTGCCTTTCAAGATGACAAATACTTGTACATGGTGATGGAATACATGCCAGGTGGAGATCTCGTAAACCTTATGAGCAACTACGATGTGCCTGAGAAATGGGCCAAGTTCTACACAGCCGAAGTTGTTCTTGCTCTTGATGCAATTCACTCCATGGGCTTGATACACAGAGACGTGAAGCCCGACAATATGCTTTTAGATAAATATGGGCATCTGAAGCTGGCAGATTTTGGCACTTGCATGAAAATGGATGAAGTAAGTATGCAACTGAATAGTTTATCATCTATAATACCGTAATTCTAAAGTTATTTTCTTATGAATTCTAATACCTGAAGGAATATTCATCAAATCATCTGCTTGGTTGGCAAGCTGTTCCTTGTCTCCTAGTTTTAAATAAACTAGGTACTTTAAGTAGTGTGACCTTGTCTATAGTAAACTGTTCTGGCACACGGAACGAGGATGTAAACTTGCTTTTTGTTATTTTGGAAAGCGTGTGTGTTTATGAATTTCTGCAGTTCGTTTTTTTTCTTGCTAAATGTCTGAAAAGCTTATGAGACAACTCCTAGTTTCAACACTAGTAACCTTGCAACAGTTCGTAAACTGACACTTTTCTGTAAATGAAAGTATTTTATAGGCAAGATACATCCCCTCCTCCCCCTTTTTTTTTACTATGACTAATTGTTCTCATAGCATCCTCTAGTGGTCATTAAAATGAGGTCACAGTAAGGCAGCAGTGGGATGTGATATACTGATTAAAATTAACGTTAACTATTTGTTATGATGTCGTACGCTTTAATTGTCCATATTTTACTATGTACAGCCAAATACACCTTTTTCTAATGTGATTGTGTAAGAATATTTTATTTTTATGTAATACTTAATACTTACAGACTTAAAAGTAAAGCCACATTTTATAGTTTGCAGTTTTAAAATCCTTCCTGACGAGCGATGTTATGCTGTAATTTACACAATATATTCTTCCTGTGAAAAATTGTACCAGACTATAAAAAAAACTATGTATGAAAGTGTTAAGATTTGCCCAGCCTTTGAAAGGTTTCTGTATTAATGTTGGCAAGGATGATCCTTTTAACCTGATTTGCTTTAATGTGTTAGATTTTTCCCTGTATTTTTTAGGCAGTGCATGGTGTAATCTCTGCAATCTACTTAATTTGCATTTGCCTTAGTAAGTTAATGTCTCTTCAGCTGTATCTAGAAGTACTGTGTCTTGTTAGGGCTTTTTTTTTCTTTCTTGTGGCAATATATTAACTACATTGAACATCTACAGCAGCTTATTGAAGTTCAGTAGTCTATTTAGTTTTGCTGATATTGTAGTTTTTATCCTAAAGGCAGATAGATTGTTTGCCCCCACTTTGATGATTCACTTGCCTATATTTTAGGGGTCACGATTTACTTTAGTTGAAAAAATCAAAATTAGTACTTGATCTCTTAATTGAGTCCTGAAAAATAATAAAAAATTAGAAAAGCACCAAAAAAATCATAATAGAAATCTACAAAAAAAAAAAAATACAGTGATGCTTTGTGCTATGTTAGGGATCCCAGAAATGGTGAACCTAAGCCTTTTATTTTGCCTTTGTTTCCCCTTTTTTTTCTTTTTTGTTGTTATTAAAGAATGGAATACCAAAATGGGGTTGATCATATTATAAATGTGAGAAATGCATGCACACTTCTTGTGAAGAGTTATAATGAGCTCCAGTTTGGACTGGGCATCGCCAGTGAACCAGTGATCTCCTTAAGAAGTTAATTTTTTAACAGACTGCATTGTAAGTTCTTCATATTTCTCAGACTCAGTGGAATGGCAAAAATTTTTTATACAGGAAGCTTTAGAAGTCGAGAGGTTCTGGATTGTCTCCAAATTTCATGCTACTTCTTACAAAACATGAACACATCCCAGCTGTGTAAATATAATATTGGTGTTGGCAGGATGATTTCTAGAAAATATACACTTACCCAATAGTTGTTTTTTCTGATTTGGAGTCCTTTTAGCAGTTGTGCATATTAGCATCCTCCCTGTGCTGTTGAGAGCCCAAGAAAATTCTGCTGAAGTGTAGTGAGAGACTTTTTTGACCTTGGCTGTGGATTTGGATTCAGTGTCCTCTTAAGTCTTCCAGGCCAGTTCAGACACTTGCAGCAGAATTCTCCTTACCAGTATGTGAAAACTATTACGAAGTGCTTTAGTGATCTTTTTCAACATAAAAGGAACTGACCTATTTATGTAATTCAGTTGTGATGGCTTTGGGTTTGTGGTTTTTTTGATTGTTTCCTTTTTTTAAAAATCTGCAACAAAGTGAGTATTTCTATAATTGAATAAAGAATGGAGTTGGCCTCAAAGATTTAGTAGGAATTGTGGTTCCTTTTTGGTATTTAGGTATGATAATACCTAATACAGGTTTCATCAGACTCTTCAGGTTTTCTGGAAGAAGCCAGCCAGCAGCATGATGGGCTATGGTAGGTATCAGTGCCAGGAACTCCCAGAGTTGCCAGGCTCAGTACATAACGCTGTCATGAGCTAACGGAGCTTTTAGAAGAGCACAGGCTCAGAAGATATCTGTTGAAAAAAGATGTGACTGAAAGGAGGAGTGTTTACCATTTGGGACTGTCACCCCAGCTCAGGCAGTTTAGCTGAAAAAAGGACTGTATTCCTCTTTTTAGAACTCATTTCTCAATGAAGCTCATTCAAGACTGCTGGATATTCAGTGCCTCAGTTCGCTGCCTGTGCAAGCCCAGGTGCACAGTGTTAACACCTGATCTGAGCTATCCCAGTGTTCTCACACAAGCACACTCCCACTCTTGTTTACTCCAAAGAACTTCACAAGGGTGTGAAAGCCCGATTCTCAGCCTTGGCTCAAGACAGTGAGTCACTGAAGGTGTGATGGAGATCCTCCTGAGGATGAAAACTCAACTGCTGTGTCTTCAGCGCTATAATAGTTCTGAGTGATGCTAGGAAACACTACAGCCTCACCGCAAAGTTGTCATAAGCTGTGAGAACATGCTGTGTCTCCTGGACAGCCTTGTTTAAAATGCTGTGCTGCACATCTCACATAGCTGCAGGAGATGAGTTCCAAGATGCACCTTGATCCTTCGAGGTGATGAGAAAAGGCTCAGGTAAAACTTTGGCCTGAGACCCCCAAAAGAAAGCTTTGTATGAGAGCTGCTATAGTAAGTGTGCTCCTCAGGCATAAAACAGAGTTTAGTATTTGAAGCACAGGAGTATCTCACTGTACAGAGAAAACATCACCGTTTAGATCTCTTCAAATGCTGAAGTACAGAAGGCAGAAGTCATCCTGCAGAACATAGGGACTGTCAAGATGCCATGTACTGCAGAGAGGACCTCCCTGTTTACTTGGCTTTGATGCCAGAGATCATAGAAGCTCATTTGATTGTGGTATTAAGAGTATCCAGTACTTGAAGATACATACAGAGGAACGCCCAAGTTCTTTGAAAGGACAAGTGTATTAATGAGAGGAACAGAAATCTGGGCATATTATGTTCAGGTGGTAATGGACCAGCCTCCCCAGGGACGTGGTAGAATCCCCACTGCTGGAGGTTTCCAAGGTGTGATTGGACAGGGTGCTGGATAGTGTCATCAAGGCTCCCTTTCCTGTGACAGGTCGGGTCAGATCTCCAGGTCCCTTCTAATTCAGGCTTTTCTTTGACTGTATGATTGCATTTTTAGGTTTGTTCATGAGACAGAATGTAGGGTTTTACAGGAAGTAAGTACAATTAACTCCATGTGCTTGAGACAGATACAGTCCACTGCAAACTGATGTTAGCACATAGTGCCCTTTTAAACGAAAAAATATATTTTTTGTTTTAATGTTCAGTTTTTGACATCTTGTCTGAAAACTTAAGATGTTGTTACCTGGACTTCTTTAGCATTTGTTATGTCATTGGAAAGAAGCTTTCTTCTTGCTATATAGCAGCCATCAGACTTGGTTAGAGCTCGCTTTTTCTTGTCATGATGTTTGCTTTCTTTGCATAAGACTTCATAAATACCAACATGTATAACATATTAAAAAGTGTTCTTGTTTTGGTGCATTAATTATAGAGGAATGGGAAATGGGGTGTTATTAAGTGCTTAGGTGTCGAGGTGATGAGGCTGTGACTGAAGCTGCAGTCGTCAGAGAAATTTTCAAGAACTCTTTCAGTTGCTTTGTTTTTAAAAAAGCTTCTTCTCACAGAGAGATTCAGTTGGCATCAGCCACCTTCACTGAGTGAAGACTCAGACTTCCCCTTGTTGTAATTTTGCGTTTGGATGAGTAAGAGATAGACATGCACCAGTGTTGGAGACCTCATTAATATGTCAGTCATCCTACATCAGCAGAGTCACGTGAGCCTGGAACAGTTCCTCCAGTGCTCGAAGCAGAGAGGCCTAAAGCTTCGGAGAAGACTGAAGGTGTACCTGTAGGTTTGTGCAGAGTGCTCGTATAAGCAGGATGATCAAACAGTGGTTCCTGCTGTGTGCCAGGTCCATTCTTTATGTTCTCAGCATTAGATTTCTGGAGTCTTTGGGCTTTAGTTTATTTTCCAGTGTTAAAATATGTTCATCTGTATTCTTATTCATACAAAGAAGATATTAGATTTTCTGAAAAGAGTTAACTTCATTTTCTTACTCCAGAATTGCCAAGGTGTGTGTCTTCTGGTTCATAGTACAGAAAGCAGAAGTTAACCTGAGAAGTTAAAACTTCCTTTAGGTTTCAGCTTCAGCATGGAGGTGGAAATGATGATAGGCATTTCCCAGGAGGACATTTGAAGTACTCCTTAGGTCTCTGCAGTATTTAGTCATCGCTTTAGTTTTTGCCTGCCAGTTCATGACTTCCCAGGGTTCTGGTTTAGTACTTAAAAAAAAGCTTTTTGGCACTTCATAGTGTGTGTGAAAAGAAATATTGTAATTTAGTGTCTAATTTTTACATGTCAATACAGTTCCCAAAACAAAATGTTTCTCTTCCTTTCTTTAAATATGTATTTTGACTTTAGTTGTTGCTGCTAATCTTCTGTATCAATATTCAGCCAAAGCTGATGGCAAAACGCATGAAGAACTTTGTAGGTTGACATAGAAAAGATTTGAGGTTGAGAAACAGAATAAAAGATGAGTGTATTTTTGGCACTTCTCTAACTTCATCCAGGATTTCATTTCATTTATCCATCTGGTCCCTTTGGAATGAATGCAGAGAATTTGATTAAAGGAAACAAGGCTTACAAGTCTGAACCAGTGTGCTGGCAGATCTGATGATGCTTCTGCGTCATTTAGCCCTTGCATTTTTAGTCTCTCTGTGTGAAAGAGGATGAAGACTCATTCCATTAATACAACTGTGTTTAATATGATAATAAAAATCACTTTAAAAAAAACTCCCAACAAACCAAACAAACGTTGCTATTCTTTAAAAATAGCTTTTCCTTTTTTTTTCCCTATCTGTAAATAAAAAACGAAGTGTGACTCTAAAAATTTACCTGTAACATGATTTATTGTCTGAGTTAGACAAAACTGTTACATATCTGCTATGTAGGACCTAGAACTTACAGCTTATAAAGACTATTTTGATTTTGTTGCCTGTTTTCCATGAGGGTGAGGAGCAGTCTCATATGGTGTATAGCTTCATATTGAAACCAGTGGTAACAGTAATAAAATTGGTCTATTTTTGAAAGATAAAATCAAGAAAAACTGCTATGGAGTAGACAGGGGAGAGCACATTATCAGAAATTGCCATTGCAGTCCATATTGCTTCTGGAGTAAAAACCAGAGACTTTCAAACACATTTCTCAAATGAAATATTTTGGGCTATGCTTTTAATGTGTTTCTGGTCTACTATAATAGACTGTTCAAAGACTCAGAAGTATTTTTAGTCAAGCCGTTTGAATTCCTG